GTGTGTTATGAAACTCATGAGCAGCTCATTATTTCATGGTTTGACAAATGACTCTGTTACAAACTGTCAAGCAGAAACCACTGAAAAAAGAGCAAGTTGACTGGTTTGTTAGAACTGGTTTGGAGTTAGACTAGTATCCTGGAGGAACTGGGTGAGCTCTTCACCTACTTCCTAAATAATAGCTACAAAAGTCACAACTCTGCCTAAAAGTTTCCATTTCCTGTGCAGAGGACACGTGATAAGGCAGTGAACTAAAGCTTAAAAGACCCAACGCTCCTGACGTCACCTTTGTTTAAAAGTTTCGGAAACTTTTCCCCCATCTCTATTGTACATTTGAGAAGGATGGATCAGGGCGGTCTTCAAAGACAACTTCCTCTCCCACCCTGCTGAACTACCATTAATTAGTTGCCCTTTCTCTTTTCCTGACAGGCTGTGAAACTGCAAATGCCAAGTGTGACCAATGCCCATTCATTGTCAATACAACAGACTACAATACAAACAAGAGAGAATATGGCACATGCATACATACGTGCTCCTCTTAGCGGGATTATAAAAAGCGCTGCTTAAGTGAGACAGCATTTCATGGTCTATTTAGCTGGTGAGGGAGGGTTCCTCCAGTGCGTCTAAATGTAGAGATCAAGCTGAGCAAACTCAAAGTGTGCAAGATGCTTACACTGTACACACACGACTCCTCTCATAGTCTCCTTTTCGCCCTCACCTGCACACACATTTGAGCAAATACAAAGACCCTGAAATTAACGCTGAAATTCCCTACGGCACGCTATAAGGGAGGAAATGAAGTCGCTCCAAGCCATCAGGAAAGAATACAAAAGTAGAAAACGGGTGTGGGCAAAGAGGGTTGTTCAACACCCTGCTGAGAGAGAGGAAATAAACACTTCCATATGCGATCCCTGCCAGAAACACTTGTGCGTGCACACACACACACACACACACACACGGGGAGTCTGGAGTTAATGCAGTGACACAGTGTTGTAAATTTGAGCACGAGAGTTGTAGTTAACAGCTCGCACCTCCATACGAATGGGGATGGAATATTTTCTGCTTCCAGACATTTATAGCTAGTAAGGCCTCATCCATCACGGTCAGCTCTGTGATATAATGAAGCTTGGAAAGAAATACACTGCTGCAAAGCTGTAAGACTGGAGTTTCCTGATTAGCCAGGTAGCAAAATGGCTGGTGAAGAAGAATCCAATCTTATTTCTTGTGTGTGTGATTGTGCGGTCACGTGCTGACTAAAAGGAACCCACACACACACACAGCATAACTCCTGCCTGGGGAAACCCGTGAACTCTGGGCCACTGTGCCATTGGTCACGTCCAGAAAACAAACATTAACAGTCACTTGCATTACAAACGCTTCTGAGGATCGTCACTGGCTACACTTCCTAGCATAACACAATTAGGATTATCAGTATACACTTCATCCACCCTCAACTTTAAGCCTAAATACAATCCCGACTGTAGATCATATACGGTATCGTTAAAGCGTCCAGCTTACGTACTAACACCAGCGCGGGCACGGCATTACTCTGGTCCCATCTCAAAGCCTCTCTGATGTGATTGTGTGTTCCTATAAGCATGTGTGTATCATCCATAGTTTGTTTACATATGTGGAGCAGACGGTCATCTTCTTAGGAAGATTAGCCATAAAGAAGTTCCAGGGTTGGTCAGCTGGAGAAGTCTTTATTATAATGTGCATGCTTGCTTTCAAACAGAGCACTTTGTCACTGCAGTACATCTGTGTGTGTGTGAGCATTAAACTGCATTGTGACAGAGTCATCAGCTGCTTGTTTCGAAAGGATGAAGAGTTAAGAGTGCATGTCCATGTTTGTAATAGTCCCTAATTACATAATCCAGTTATTCTCCCACAGCTTCAGTACACACTGAAGTGGACATCTGATGGTTTGGCCTCAGCAGTGGTTCTAAGGGTGTGTCTCCTGCAGTGTGTGTGTGTGTGTGTGTTGCTTTCTCACCGATGCCCAGAACAAACATAACATAAAAAAAACTCAGCAGTGGAGCTGGTTGCAGCTCCTTATCAGCTCAGATTAGAAATGCCCTTGTCCAGACAACACAGTATTCAGTTGGAAACCCTACCCCCCCCTCCCCTCCCTCCTCTTTATAGAGCTGGCAGTCAACATGAAAGTCTGAGTGTGTATCACCGAGCCAAGACAACGACGCAGTACCTCTCCTCACATCTCGCTTGATTAAAGTGAGAAAATGGCACAAGCTCCGGGTAAAATTAGGTGACTTAGATTTTACAGATGGCCCTTGTTGCCAAGCATATTTTCTCAATTAAGGCTGATTAGGGAGGGGAAATTCCCTGACAGCGTGAATTATTAAAAACTTGAAATGGAGTCTGATCATGTGACGTTGTACAGCAGTGACACCCGACATTCCCAGATGAATGAAGAAAACGGAAAAGGGATGGGGGGGGATGTTCTGATTAGCCCAAAGTGAGAACACAATCTCCTTCCTATCCTAATAAATCATTACAAACTAGAGAGAACGGGTCTGGACTTGTGCAGGTGATTCCCTAGGAAGTGATTTAAAAAAAAAATTGACCAGTTACTTCCTGTTTACAGGAAGGAAAGATCTTAAAGGCTAACACTCCACAGACAAACTACTGAAAAAACACACGGGCACCAATCGCATCAGTTCCTTCACTTTTCCTTTCTATTCCACGCCCTCAGCAGGGCGACGCATGGTAGCGAGGCTTCTGCTGCTACAGCTCGACTAGATTTGCTTCTTTGCTGGAATCCCAAACATTTTGTTTACGCGCGTTTGACAATCCATTTCAGTTTGTTTTTGCTTGTTCACAGCGGCGCCACTGTTGGCATTAATCGGCATGTGATTTCATGGCTTATTTCTATCTAGTTGGTTACTGGATTCAAGCAGCAATCACACTGCGAGACAGTCAGGCCTAGAATTTCACCACAAAAAAAAAAGAAATCGGGGTGTTAGTCAGCACGTCAGCTGCCATATTTTACCTTTCGACCCCACTTTGGACTGTGTGAGAATACACAGACTGAGAATGATCGAATTCTTCTTCTTCTCTCACTGTTCTTGTATTATTGTTCCTTCTTAAACGGGTCATTTGGACACGACACAGAAGGGAAAACATGGGCGTGAACTATAAAAACTGTATTTGAACAGAGACATTGTTAATGATATAAATAACACTCAACAGCTTAAAATGGCTGCTGTGAAGTCAAGCCAACAGAATTCTGTGATGTTTTGGAGTCACCGGCAAAGCTACCCGCCCACCTCCAACCTGAACACAGGTATAATTTAGCTGGTAAGTGAAAACAAGACCTTAAAATCTGGAGTGTCAAAAATATGGTCCAGGAGCCAGAATTGGGCCAGCAAACACTCCAATACAGCTCATTGGATGGCTTTGGAAAGGGAACTTTTGGAGTTTTAATTGACTTTATTTAGTTTTACAGCTTAATATATTAACAAAGACCTCCCCCGTGGCCACACTGTTGAAATAGCACTTCTTTAAATGTGTAGTTAAACTTCTGTATAGTGGCAGAGAGGGCACTTTCACTGGTCTGGCCCATGTGAGATCAAAAACAGGCTTTCTGTGGTCCACAACATGATATCAGTTTGACATCCCTGCCTAAATAAATAAATAAAGTACATCATCTGTGCCACAATAAAGATGCAAAATTTCAAAGACACGTTTCTAAATTTAAAGACCAAAACTTTAAAGTCTCACTTCAAACATTACCACTCACAGTTAATTTGACTTGTTAGCCAAACCTCAGTCTGAAGGGAGGAACTAATCGGTGGAATATGATTGAGCAGCATTTGTTTAAAATGAAAATCTGCTCTCGGAGCACGCTATTGTAAATAAATCTGAGCACCCAGAGGTAGCAGTGGCCTTTAGCATTGTTAAAATAAGGCCTCTGCTCCCCATCTCTAAGAGGATGTTCAGATATTCAGCACTAGGTTTCCTTTATGATAAAAGATGTTGCGCAACAACAGAGCACCACACCTTAAGAACAGTGCATGGTGATGATCGGAGGACTGTCCTGAAATGAATGAGAAAAGCTACACCTTTACCAAAGCAACCTCAGAGCAGACCCACCAGCACGGCCGGCGGCCTTCACAGGTTATCTACATGTAAGGTCGTCCTTGAAAAGAGTTGTTGCTCTTTTGTCCATGTCTAAAAGAAGTCTCTGTGTGTCCCGGGCTGACTCCCGAGCATCCCTTCAGCGGTTTGCGTTGCCACGCTGGGAGCCTGTCAGAGCGGCTCAGTGTCAAACCTCCCAGCCCCGCTGAGTCAAGATGACCATAAACCGAAGGCTAGAGCAGCCACACTGGCCGGATGCTCGCATTTTTGTAAGGTGCCTGATGTTACCTTTCCTGTTAGGTGTTAAAAGAAGTGCTCCCTGTCGAGCCTGTTTGAGAAGTCATCAGGTAAAGTATAGGAAACAGACACATCTTAAGAAGGCCTAAATGAATTTAAAGTAGCACCTCTAAGCATTACTGCTCCTAGTGCTGGATGTAATTCTCCAGTAGGTTGGAATGTATGCAATATTTTGGACTTTCTTCACCATTTGTGCTTCCTCAACAGCCGGGAAAGTCAGAAAACACAAAGGAAAGCTGAATAAACAACGTGTGTGAAGCCTGTGGGGTTTCCATGTCCCTGAACCAGACAGGTGGCATTCCCTGTTAGGGAGAAAACCAGGCCCGGCTACTTCAACTTAAAAAAAAGAAAAAGCCATTCACAAATCTGCCAATTAAATGTGACATTAAACGGTTCCGCAGCTATTAAATGTCACAACTTCCTCAAGTTTTAGTACTCATTGTAAAGTTCTATGGGTTTATTTCAACTTAAGATTAACCTCAATGAATCAAAAGTTTCCATTTAGATGAAGCTGTTTTAAAAAAAGAAAAAAGAAAACAAGAAATCAAACTTGGCACAAAAGCCGTTAAACGCACACCAATAAAAGCGCAGAAGTTTTGCAGCCTCACCTTTTGTCTTACCTTGCCTGACAGTTTTAAACCTGACGGGTCCTTTGCAGTTCTTTATCACGGTGTATATGTCGTACAGGGGTAATCCCGAAATCGAGAGATTCTCCACTTCGAGCAGAAGCTCCCCTTCACCCAGTTTCCCACTTTTGTACACCACCGCATTGTGGTTCAGCGGTCCAATGTAGGCGAACTCTCCGTTCTCCGCGCCGCCACGCAGCGGCACGTTGAGCTCACCGCGGGCATCTTTGGACACGGAGACCTCGTTCACCCTGGAGGTCCAGTGGTTCTTCTTCAGCGCGGGTTTGGACATTGCGAACAGTTCACGAGCCGACGCCAAACCGGTCGGACTCTGCCACCGGGATTGGGGGGGGAACACAGTCACAGCAGTCCCTTTCTCTCTCCTGCTCGTTAAAAAGTAGATTTGTATCCGAGGGACGCGCAGAAAACTTTCTTTCTCTCCCACAGAAACATGAGCGCCTCTCGACAGTACAGGTCCCGAATCAAGCCATTCCTGCCTGCGCTGAAATCACTCCTTGCTGTGCGGTTATTCTTCTCATCACTTTTCTTAACATCCCCTCCGGTTTAATCCTCCTTTACTGTTGTCATCCTACATCTGCCACGCTCCCACTCACGGCTCGCGTCCACTTCTTAAATCCTCTCGGTTGTTTTCAAAACTCACTTTTAAAGGGTTTCCTTCCTCTCTTCCTGCTAAAAGAGACTTCACTCCTCCTCTGTCCGTATCCACAGAGCCCACTTTATCCACGGTCGACTGCGTCCAGAACTCCTTTAACCAGGTACGTCGCTCTGGTGCGTGGAGCTGAAAATCATTCCCACTCTGGTGCTGGGGATGTGTTGCTGTCCGTGCTGCGTTCAGGTGCTGTCGGATTTTTATGCGTTCACGAAGAGGTCACGTGAATAACCTCCGCGAACTCTTCACTCGTTCACAAGCCACAGATACCACAGGTCATTTCCCAGTGTTTCAGCTTGGTTGTAGTTTGAAATTTACATTTAACTTACATGTAATTAAGATGGAACTTATAAAAAATATGGTAGAAATAAATATTCGACACATTTAAATCACAACTGTAACCTAACGTAGCGCCTAAATTGACGCTTCACTGTGGACTCAAGTACGCGACTTAAATAATTTATTATCGGGCACAAACTGACAAAATGACCCTTCACGTGTTTTCTTTAAAGCCCTCTCTGCGTGATTTACAACATTAGTATTTACAGTATCAACATGGTCACGGTGAGTTGAAGTGCTGTCAAAATAACTTCGAGTACCGAATGTCAGACTCCACAAAGGGTATTTGAACGCAGCGCTATAAAGAGCGCATGCGTGCTGCTGTAGGGAGAAAGAGGTTTTTGGCTTTCCCTAAATTAGAGCCTGGTGTCAGTTTGTTTATTTCAGTCGGTTCAAATTAAATTAAAGCGCGCTTCCTGGTAAAATTATAGAATGTGCAGTATCCATCGAGCTGAATCCATCGATAATGAATCTGACTGAAATGCTTATTTCATAACATAGTGAGTCAGGGGTTAACCCTGTGATCACACATACGTCTGGAATTCTTGTATTTCAGGTTAGACAGGTGTCAAACCATGTTTTAATGTTTGCCTGAAACCTCCCCTCTCTGCTTATGCAATCTCTTTACGCCTGAGACGGTACTATTTACATACTTAGTTGTATCCCTAGCTACTGTTTTTGTTAAACGCAAATACTTGTTGGCAACCACATCTAAGAATCTGAGAGATGCTTAAAAATAATAATGGAGATGGACATATATAGAAAGACTGCGTAATGGAATCACATGTGCCGGGCTTCTCACCTTGGGAGCGGCAGATTAACTTTTTTTTCCAACCTAAAAATAACAGTAAAGCACTCTTAGTCCCAGCAGATAAAAAAAAAAGAGAGAAAACTAGTGGCCTGGATGGGACGGGAAATAGTAAATGCACTTATATAACTCAAACTGTAGCTTTCCCTCATCTTCATCCATTATTAGCTGCTCATACATGAAATGCACGATTAATATTTGTTCCGTTCAGTGCAGGTCAGTTTCCAGGGGAAATTCTCTTTGCAAGCAAGTGATGAACAACAAACATTAATATGGAAAAAGTACTTAAAACATGACACAGGGCCCAAGTGTCATAAATTATGAACGCCTTCATTCATCCACAGTGCACCATTAAACTAAACAGCCCTAACATTGCATTGCTAACTATGCCATAAAAAATGCATTAACCAGAGGTAAGCTATTATGTAGTACAAGAAACAAAGTTTGTCCTTTTCCTGAGAGACACGGTTATTCTTTTAGTGGTGCTGATGAACTTAGAATAGGAGAGGATAGAGGATAGCACTTCTTCTTTTGTCTTCCATTTGACCGTCTTCTTCAGTTTTTTTAAGAACACACTACGAAAACACTGGTTCAACCCTTTAGCCCAATGTTAAATGGCTTAACAAACAAACAAAAAAACGTTTCCCTGGAAAGGGTCAGGTACAATGACTGAACCGAACATGAGGTAAAAGCAGCTGATGTACAAAGAAACACTTTGGAAACATCCCTGACCTGCCACAGTAGGTGATTGGTTGGCCCGCTGGCCTCCAGGAAAATGGAGTAGGGTTGGTTCATGGAAGTTCTATTCATGAAGTCAGGGTTAACTCTGAGATCATGTCTGCCTGAAGTCCAGTAAGAAGGAGGATGCTAAAGGGTTAAAAGAACTTTAAGTGGTGGTGACTGGGTTTATGTATGCATGTTTGTGTCTGCATGTGTATATGTGCCAGTAACTTCTAATGTGACCTCCGTGGGGGTCAGCCAGCTCCTCTGCCAGCTTCCTGTCACACAGTGTCACCCAAATCAGATCGACAGAGGCAGACACACTGCCACGGGCCCAAAATTTCCTATTCCCTTTCCACACATCCATCACTCTGTATATGTCAACATCTTCTTCCTTAGCTTCTGCAGCCTCTCTATATTTGACTGCCACGTTCTCGCTGCCTTTCACTCGCTCGCAAACACGAACAAGCCACAAACCATTGGTGGCATCACAGTCATTGTTCCGGTATACCTACGCAGTCAGACAGCCATTCTCACGTTCGTCGTTTTGCAACCGTGCATTATAAGTTCTACAACATGTCCAGTTTCACACATGTAACACAAACCTGCTGATTATGTGCAGATTCTGTGGAGTTATTTATAAAAGTTATTACCTTGTCACTGAGAGCTCTCATTAAAACAGCACTTGCGTACGCTCGCACTCTGCCGTTGTGGCCACTTGTTATGACAGCATTTAAAGAAGAAGACACAGATAAGAATGGTTTGCGTGTCGTAAACTATTATTAGCCACCGTATTCATTCACTCTGCGTGATGAGCTTAGCGATACCGCTGACAAGTAACGGCAGCTCGCGCTTAATGGCCAACAGTAATAAAGCACCCTTCAAATTTGACAGCTGTGCTCAAATGACTTTGGGACCGCTCTGTGGCAGACCTCCACTATTAGTAGCTTTCATCGTGTGCACAGCGGCCGAGCAATCCATCACTTCTGATTTTAAGTTGTGTAATGTGACGCATGCATCGTGGACACAGAGGCTGCCCCTGTTGTAATTCAGCAGAAGTTTCACTCCCAGATGATTGTATAATGTAGACAGAAACAATGTAAGTCTTTGGATAGGACTTTGAAACAAAACCAGCAATAAAAGGTGACAGATTAGCAAGTAAAAGGAGGAAAGTTGCTGTCATATCGCTGTTGTTTATATCTCTATTAACATTAACAAGCAGGAGAGAAAGAGAGAGAAAAATGCTTTAACTTAACAATGGCCGCCACAGCTGTAGAAACAGAGTGGAGTGTATAATCTGACGGGGCCCACCACACGACCTTTCAACACATTCCTTCCTGTAAGCGGCTTCTCTTCTCTGGTACATCTCATACCTCAAAGCTTCCTTCGATTTGAAAATTTCCAACAGCTTTCCCTCTGACATTCAACATCTCAATCTTTAATGATTTTGCTATCTTTGCACACTTTGTGTATGTGAATGAACTCCATATAAATATTTAACAGAACTCCACATTTCTTTTTAATCCTTAGGATCTCTAATGGGTTAGCATGATCTCAAAATCCTAAGTCTGTAAAGTTTTTCCGAACCTGTTTTCTGTTTTGAGGGATGAATTCATCTGTGCACCATCCTCTATGCTAGGGGTGGGGAAACTCCAGGCCTCAACGGTCGGTGTCCTGCAGGTTTTAGATGTGTCCTTGATCCAACACAGCTGATTTAAATGGCTAAATTACATCCTCAACATGTCTTGAAGTTCTCCAGAGGCCTGGTAATGAACTAATCATTTGATTCAGGTGTGCTGACCCAGGGTGAGATCTACAACCTGCGGGACACCGGCACTTGTGGCCTGGAGTTCCCCACCCGTGATACATGCCAAGAGGAAGAAAATGAGGTTTGGGGGATGGAAACCTAGCAGCACTTGCTTGTGTATATCTGAGCTGATTGCATACTGATGTACAAGTTTGCACATCTGCATCACTCATAATTCACGAAAACCGTGCAAACCTTCCCTGAGGTCTACATCACCGCATCATAGTCGAACCCACTGAGCAGCTCCCAGCATTGTACAACAAATGGGTTTTGTTCAGGTCACGTCATAGCTGACCTGTGACCTTCCTGTGCTCATCACTTAACGGGCTCCGCAAATGAGGAGGATCATTTTTCTGCTTTAGATGTCACTTTAATCTGTTTTACCTCCGTGCTCTGATAATGCCTCATTCATCATAATAGCCACAAAGCGCTGATGGCAAAGCGAGAGAGACGGAGAGCGAGGCAGGCCAACAGGGAGTGAGTGAGAGAAAAAGAGCACAATCCTACTTTTAACTAAAGCAGAGCTGCAAAGCTCAGTGTTGCCCTGGAAGATTAAGGATGAATGGCTCAGCACAAAAAGGCCAACAGATTATCAACGGGGCTGCAGAGAGCTGTCATATCAAAGCTGGTGACAGGAGGGGAAGAGGCTGGGGAGTCAGTACAGAGACTAATGAGTTACTTGGAATAGTTACTGTAAGCTGTGCTGTGCTGGAGCTCTACTGTACTAAAATGCACTCTGAATTGAGGTCTTTTTTTACTAAGGGCCAGACAGGAGAGGAATGAGTAAATTGTCCACATTCAGCATATTAAGGAGCCTAAATAAACGTCAGCACATTCTCAAAGTTGGCTGTCATCCCAAGAAATAAAACACAGGCTGGATCTGGATGCTGCGAATATTTGGCTCAAGCGTCACTTTGATATAGGAATAGCCCAGGCTTCCAACCAGTGTTTTTAATATCTGCAGGAAAACATCGTCTTTAAATTTCTTGTGTGCATAATTGTATTTGGATGCAGGAATGGTTCCATTTAAGCCCATCTGGGTTTCGAATATGCATCGCTCTAAAGGAGATAATTCAGTTGGAAGGTGTGTTTGTTTTGTCGCTACGACAAATACACCTCGGCACGCTCAGGTCTACAATTGAGTTTTACTCTTGGACACCCTGAATATAAGAACCTCCAGCTACTGTTAACTTGCTAAACACTACTACTGCCTGCTTTGATGATGCCTTCAGACGTATGCCATATGGGTCATCATGTCAGCACTCTGTACTGCCCTCCAAAGCTCGTCCTGTCAGTGGGAACCCAGAGAGCATCATCTCATTTTTTGGACTGGCAGCTGAGCAGAGTTAAGTATCTTTTTCTCTTTTTTTTTATCTGTATTTTCAGGACCTTATGAAGGGGGACTGACTACATTTAAATAAAGAGACCAGGGCATTGGTGCATT